TAAATTATTCTTTAAAAACCTAGGTGTACTTAGATTTGATATGAAGATATCCACTGTTATCTTTCTTTTGGGGAATATTTTTCTGAGTAAATTAAGAAATAATAGCCTTCTCTTAAAGTTTTTTCAAAAATTTTTCATGTTTTTTTTTTTTTTTTTCTTAGTTTACCCTGTTTTTTTTTAAATTTTAGTTTGAATTTCATGTTATTTCTGTTTTTCGTCATACACTTCTAATAACATCAACATGTTTGTGATTAGACTTGGGATCTACAAATGCCACTAGTGCTATTAGTCAGATAACAATGGTGTCAGCAACAAACCAACCACAAAATGAAAATCAGACAGAAAATGATGATTTTGATATGTTTGCCCAGTCTCGAAATATTTCATGTGAACAAACCAGAACAAGGTAATTCTTCACTTCAGTGAAGTTTAAATGTGATATTATTCCATATTTTAAATATCTTTTTAGTTGTCTTTTGTAAATTTAGAATTTAGTATTCATAAAATATTAAAAAAGAAATTAAATGGCTGAACATTTTTGTATTGCTTCATACTATTTTGGTGTTGATATTATTTACATTTTTATGCTCCAATCAAAAATATAGGTACAGCATTAATGGAAAGGACCATATTTTAATACTGGAGTAGTATAACATTTGTCTTTAATTATATCCTTGACTCTGTTACTAACAATTGTCTTTAACTTTTTATACACTTCTGCTGGAACAAATGAGCCAAACTGTGAATCTGGGGTTCTGTGGTTTGCACCCCTTTACTTGGTCTAACAAGAGTTAGATGTGGTGGTGGTGGTGGGTGGGTAGGTGGGGTGCGTGTTGACTAGATGCCTTCTCTCAAGTCTATCATTTCAGATTTAGGGATGGCTAATACAGATAGCCTCAAGTACAGCCTATAGCTTTGCACAGAATTCCATAAAGAAACAACAAACAAAAAAGCTGTAACAGACTATTGCTATCTATGCAAAGGAGCTCCAAGTGTAATGCATTTTTTTCAAAACATTATAGAATGATTAATTTGAATTTAAGTCAAAGCTTTGTGTTGGCCAGACACTGGATGTTATTTGTCTCAAACTAATGGTTCATTAAAGTGTTTAAATAGGTATAGTTTTTCTCAAGGAAATTTCATCAATGAAAACATTGCAGAATTTTTCAGAATGTCTCAATACAACATAACATTATTAATTTTCTTAATGCTTTCCCAACTGACTGGTGCACACTCACAAATAAATTTTAAAATATAGATAATTCTATTTCAACAATGTGTTTACTAAAAATATTGCAGACTTTATTATTTTGCATTCTATAATCCTTATCTAGTGTACTTTGTGAGTAAAAATTCAAAAATATTTAAACTTTCATTTCTGTCATGTCTATAGCTGGTGGAACCATAAACATCACACTTGTAGGTTTTGTAAATTTTTTTTATGCCTTCTAAGCTTATACTTATTTCTGCCAGTCAGCTTTCAACATTTTTAACCAGCTTGAAATTTATTTTATATTTCTTGCTTTCTCCAACTGTGTATTCATTAGTTTAACTTGCATTTATTGTACTGCCGAAGAGGATTTTGGAAACTTTGATGGGCTCTCTGCTTTGAAAAGGAACATAGCCAATAGTCATTAATCATCAGAAAGTTAGATGCTAATCTTTAATGTTATGTTATCTCAAATCACCAAGAAAAGTTTTTGAAATACTTCCCAATTATTTTGTAGGCTTGGGATTTTGTGTATAGTTAATAATGATGTTCTTTTTATTCCTTATAATGTTTTTTCTGTATTATGACTGAAAACTTAGGAATTTTCTTTTATGGCAAGACATCAGTTATGGATATTGAGAAAACCTGTGATGACAAATTTTTCAGATGACAAAAATCCTTTTTTGTTGAATATATTGTTGAGCTTATTTAAAATCATTTTTATTCATTGAAAATAAGCTATAATTACTAGATGTAAAGTGATCTCAACTAAAAGTATTATTGACAAAATGTCATGTTACAAAGTCTGACAAAAGTAATTCTGTTACAATATTGAAAGGTGAGGTCACTGATCACAAATAAATCTTTTACCATACTGTGTTTGTATCATTTAAATGGAAAGTTGGCTGCATCAATTGGCAGATTAAAGTATCAAAAGAAATATATTGAGGAACATCAAACAAGTTAAAACTGATTGGATATATATACAATGCAACTTCCTGATCAATGATAAAATTATATATGTATATACACACACACACACACACACACACACACACACATATATATATATATATATATATATATATATATATATGTGT